CAATGCAAAGGCCCCACAAAGATAGCAAAACAAACCTGTGTGTGTGTGTGTGTGTGTGTGTGTAGGTGGGTCTGCTGGGTCGAACAGGCTCAGGGAAGAGCACCCTGCTGTCAGCTCTGCTCCGTCTCACTTTCACCGAAGGCGAAATGTCCATCGACGGCGTTGCGTCCAGCTCCATTCCTCTGCAGATGTGGAGGAAGGCCTTTGGAGTGGTGCCGCAGGTACTGCTCGACTCCTCAGCTCCTTTTCAAATGTTCACGCCCACACGAAGAGTCTTTAAAACAATGTGATGATTTGTTCCTGGCTGTACATTTCAAGGATTCTGTCCTGTTTGCTTAAAGAAAGTTTTTATCCTGACCGGATCGTTCCGGATGAATCTGGACCCGTACGGACGTTACAGCGACGAGGAGCTGTGGAGCGTCGCCGAGGAGGTGAACATGCTTTCTCTCTAACTGCAGTGATGATTCATAGATTATTGATTACTGATGATTGCTCTGCTGGTTATCAACCTCCATCCATCCATCCATACATCATCCATCCATCTATCCACCCGTCATCCACCCATCATCCAACCATCATCATACATCTGTCATACATCCATCATCATCAATTCATCCATACATCCATCTGTCATCCATTCATCCATCATCCACACATCTATCATCCATCATCATCCATCTATCCATCTGTCATACATCCATCATCAATTCATCCATACATCCATTTGTCATCCATCCATCATCTACACATCTATCATCCATCTATCTGTCATCCATCCATCCATACATCCATCTGTCATCCATCCATCCATACATCCATCTGTCATCCATCCATCATCATCCATCCATCCATCTATCCAGCTGTCATCCATCCATCAATCATTAATCCATCCATACATCCATCTGTCATCCATCCATCATCCATACATCTATCATCCATCCATCCATCCATCCATCCATCCATTCATCCATCCAATAACTTTACCCACTTCTTCCTTTTTGGGTCACTGGCTCCCATGTGCAGCAGTCATTATGCAAGACGGGGGACACCTGGACAGGTCTCCAGCCCATCACAGGGACACCTGGACAGGTCTCCAGTCCATCACAGGGACACCTGGACATGTCTCCAGTCCATCACAGGGACACCTGGACAGGTCTCCAGCCCATCACAGGGACACCTGGACAGGTCTCCAGTCCATCACAGGGACACCTGGACATGTCTCCAGTCCATCACAGAGACACAGAGACAAACGAGACAAATAACCATTCTCACTCTCTCACCTCGGGACAGTTTAGAGTTACCATCAGTCTAACATGCATGTTCTTGGTCTGTGGGAGGAAACTGGAGCACCTGGAGAAAACCCACGCAGCACGGAGAGAACATGCAGACTCCACTCAGAATGGCCCCCGGCCGGGGAAAGGAACCGGCGACCGTCTCGCTGAGTTGTCAGCTCTAACATCTGCGCCACTGTACCGCCCTGGTTCTGTTGTAATAATTCTAGTAATTGCGTTCAGAGTTTTAGTGATCGAAGGCAGACTTTTCAACACGCTGTCCTGTCCTGCACCTTCTGCATCATTTTTATTACTAGACTAAAAATAATAATTAGATCAAACATCTTTTTTGCTGCAGCAGAAGGAGTTCATGTGCGAGCTCAATCCAGCTCAGTCAGACACACTGAAGTAACATTTGTCTCCTGTCGCTGCAGGTCGGCCTGAAGTCTGTCATCGAGCAGTTTCCAGATAAGATGGACTTCCTGCTTGAAGATGGAGGCAGCGTGCTGAGCAACGGACACAAGCAGCTCGTGTGTCTCGCCCGCTCCATCCTCAGCAAGGCCCGGATCCTGCTCCTGGACGAGCCCTCTGCGTACCTCGACCCCATGTCAGTACCATCCTCAGAACATGAGCTCGTCCTTTTAGAAAACAGCTGAAACCTCTGTTACATATACACATATACATATACATATACACATATACATATACATATATATATATATATATATGTATATGTATATGTATATGTATATGTATATGTATGTATCATGATGTCATCAGTCCCGGTGGCTATTAATAGCAGAACCCCAATGGCGTTCTGAATTAGCGGCGACAGCAGTTCTGTTAAAAGCGACGCTTCAGTGATCGACCACACGGTTGTTTCAGACGTGAACGACGCTGCAAGATGACAACACACTCACCGTGCACATGCACATCTGAAGTGCATCCATTTGTTTGGGAGACGCAGGAACAGCGCACACCACAGCAACAGTGGAGACCAGGAGGAAGTCCATGTGACCTGTGGCTTTAAAAAAGTTAGACAGTTTGGGGACAACACAGGAAGTGAGCCCGCAACAATAAAAGTCATCAAACTAAATGCAGGTCACATGAGGAAAAAACACGCGGCCGCAGTAACACCAAGCTTTGGTTTCAGGTATGGGGCCACAAAATACCGGTCCGCGGGCCGCAATTGGCCCCCAGACCACTTGAGACACCTGATCTACAGGGCTTACAGTAACAGTCGTGTGTGTGTGGGGGGGGTCGTAACGGTAAATGAAGCTTAACTGTTGGTGTGGAATGAGACCACCTTTGATGATGATGATTGTGTGTGTGAGCAGAACTCTGCAGGTCCTGAGGAAGACGTTGAAGCAGTCGTTCTCCAGCTGCACCGTCGTCCTGTCAGAGCACAAGGTGGAGCCGCTGCTGGAGTGTCAGTCCTTCCTGGTGAGTTTTGGCCGTCTGGATTCTTATTTCTTAACCCAAACGTCTGTTTGCTCCAGGCGCACGGGTCACGTTTGGGTTGTGAGTCTCATCAAGCCTGACGTTTGATAATCAGACGTGATTAGAAGTGGAAGAGACGTCCGTCGTGTTGTGGAAGCAGCAGCTGCCATGATGGTACCACGTGGTCGTGTTCCTGAACAGAACCTTGAGTGTTTGAACATGGTCTTCTGCTCTTCCTGCAGATGGTGGAGAACAGCTCCCTGAAAAGTTATGACTCTATTCAGAAACTCATGAACGAGATGAGTCACCTGAAACAGGCCATGAGCCCCGCCGACAGGCTCCGCCTCTTCCCAACGCTTCCCAGACTCAACTCGACCAAGAAGCCGCCGCCAACCTCCAAGATCTCATCCCTGCTGGAGGAAGCCGAGGACGAGATCCAGGACACTCGACTCTGAGCACGCACGCACGCACACACATGCACGCACACACACGTGCACGCACACACACATGCACACGCAAACACGTGCACGCACACACCCACAGCCGTTGTTTCTCTCAGACTGCGTCAGAATCTACTAGAATCACAATAATCATTAAAAGTTCCATTTAATTTTTTATTTTAAACTTGGTTTTTCATTGAAACATGATTTTTTTATGAACAAACAAACAAACAAACAAACAGATGGAAGCACAAACAACAAGTTAAAACATGTTGATGTAAATACCATGATTAAACCTGTGGGGTTGAAAAAGTTAAAACTCTCAGAGTTCTGAACTGAAATCTTAAAGTCTGACTTGACTTTTTTGTGTTTTTTATTTGCTTAATTTGATTTTTGAATCAGCTGATTTAGAAAATTAAAACTTTAGAAAATGACCTGGAACCACTTTTCAACAGTAAAAATTAAACATTTAAAGGTCAGCAGTTCTTACGGTGCAGGAGTGAAGAATTCGCTCTCTGTTCTCACAGTTCTCTCTGTTCTCACAGTTCTCTCTGTTCTCACAGTTCTCTCTGTTCTCACAGTTCTCTCTGTTCTCACAGTTCTCTCTGTTCTCTCTGTTCTCACAGTTCTCTCTGTTCTCTCAGTTCTCACAGTTCCCTCTGTTCTCTCAGTTCTCACAGTTCCCTCTGTTCTCTCAGTTCTCACAGTTCTCTCCGTTCTCACAGTTCTCTCTGTTCTCTGCATCATGAGAAGTTTCTGAAAGTTTCCATCCTGACTCAAAACGTTCGGCTCGTTCAGGACTTTTGGCGTTTGTACTTTTACTTTTTGAAATATTTAGCTCTGTCGGCCATGTTTTCCTCATTGAAAATGAATGGAACTCTCTGAGTTGTTTACAACCTGTTTCTGCTAATTTCAGCTTCTTTCTGCTGAATTCAGCTTTTTTCTGATTTTTTTAACGCTAGCTTTTATGTATTTGTTTTGTAATTTTAGCCTTTTTCTGCCATTTTGTTCTCATTAAAAATGCACTGAGCTCATTTTACATCCTTTCAGCCCAGTCCAGTCTTTCAGCTACATTTTTAGAATTTTTTTTAGCTAATTTCAGCTGTTTTTGGATAAATTTAAGTATCTCTTGGTAATTTTTGCTACTTTCAGCCTAAATAACTTCTTCTTGCTAATTTCATCTTGTTATCCTCCTTTCAGCTGATTTCTGCTAGTTTCAGCTGTATCTGCTGTTTCAGCTACTATTTAGCAGTTTTAATGCAAACTTTAGCTTTTTCAGCTAATTCCAAATTTTTGGAGCTCATTTTAGCTCGTTCCACTTCCTTCTGGTATTTCTGCCTTTTCAGTGGGTTTTTGTGGCTAATTTCAGCTTTTTGAGCTGATTTCCTCATTTTTGTGCTCATTTCTGCTTTTTTAAACATAATTCAGCAAATGTGTTCTTTCTCTACTCATTTAGGCTTGTTCTTCCATTCCAGCTACACTTCAGAATGTTTCAGCTCATTTCAGCTGTTCTTCAGCAAGCTCAAGTATCTTTATTATCCTGGAGGGGCAGTTAGTTTCACAGTCAGTAGAAATGTAAAACATCTAGACAAGACTGAGACGCTGAAATAACAGAACGGTGTTTGTTGAGAAGCCTGATGGTTTTCAGTCTGTTCGTTCCACATCTGGGCAGCAGATACCTGCATCCAGATGGAAGACGCCTGAACTCACCATGGAGTGGTGATCAGGATCTGCCAGAATCAGAAACACTTCTTCTGCAGTAAGCGTTCACACTGCATTTTCTCAGGAAATGCAATTAGTCGAGTTTTTTCCTGAAGCTTTGTGTCGACTTTAGTTTGATCCAGTGGTTCAGGTCATTCAAAGGAATCGAACGTCGGCCTTCACAGACGCTGCAGGGACACTCAGCTGATCAGGAGACAAACTTCAGCAGCTCCTTCCTGTGTTTGGACCCAGAACCGGACAAGAGTCCGACCCACGGCTGACGACACATCAGACGCTGCTGACTGATGCACAGAGTGCGATGACTCAATACCCTTACGTTAATATTTGTTTGCACTTTAGAGACCCTGGGGTACTTCATGAAAGGAGAAAGTGGATAAAAAGAGATGGAGACACATTTTTATTTGACTCGTCTGTCGAGGTTTAAAATGATCAGAGCATTTAATACGTTCGGTTTTGTCTTCATTTTTCATCCGTTCTTATTTTTTAAGCCAGCAGCCATTTTGTCTCCTACCTTCAGTGTTTCTTCTTCGTTAGCTGAAGCAGGAAAATGTTGCTCTTTATTACTGAATATTGTTTAGTTGAAGCCCCAACAAGAAATTTCAGGTACCGTGAAAATATGCTTTGATGTTTTTACTGTGACAAAAATATTTTACATTGTACATTAATGAGGCTGTTATTCATAGGAAAGGGACAAACGTCCAAAAACTGTATAAATGTTTGTTCAATCAGCTGTATTTGCAGTAAAAGCAGATTTTGAGACTTTCACTGAGGTCGAGTTTTTTGTTCCAACAATGATCTGACCAAGTTTTCAAGTATTTATCAATAAATATACAACAGACTTCAGAACGCTCATCCCGTTTCCACCCTTCATCCAGATGTTTCTTCAGCTCAGTCTACATGTCAGAGCACAGACCAAGCCATGAGGTCCAAGGAGTGGTCTGTAGACCTCCATCAAAGCTCTGAAGACGGGTCCAGACCAATCACGTCACGTGAACGCGCAGTCAGCCAAGACACGCCCACAAGACAGGAAAGAGCTTGTGAGTTAGTTTAGTGGACTTAAAGTTGGACAAACCTAATTTAGAGGAAGCTAATTCGGTTTCCAAAGTTAGCATAAATGCTAATATGCTAAACTTCTGCTGTTAGCATGACTGTACCCACCGCGGGCTGCCACCGTACATGTGTAAACCAGCACCCCATCAGACGAGGAAACTGGTTTCTAGTTCTGATATAGCTTAAGGTCCGTCCATCCGTCCGTCCATCCATCCATCCATCCATCATCCATCCATCCATCATCTTTACCTGCTTCTTCCTTTTCAGGTCACTGGAGTCCATGTTCAGAAGTCTCTGTGTGCGAGGTGGGAGACACCTGGACAGGTCTCCAGTCCATCACAGGGACACCTGGACAGGTCTCCAGTCCATCACAGGGACACCTGGACAGGTCTCCAGTCCATCACAGAGACACCTGGACAGGTCTCCAGTCCATCAGAGACAACCATTCACTCTCTCTCACCTAGGAACAGTTCAGTTACCAGTCAGTCTAACACGCATGTTTCTGGTCAGTGGGAGGAAACCCACGCAGCACGGAGAACATGCAGACTCCTCCCAGAAAGAGCCCCAGCAGGGATTTGAACCAGCGACCTTCTCACTGAGTCACCGTGCTGCTTTTAAAAGTATAGTTTTCTCAAATGATTTGGGTGGCTGAAGGTTAATTTAGTGTCCATGGCCACCAATGGCCACCCCCTGGCACCTCCACTGCTCCTGGTGGTGGAGCAGCACCTCCTCTCTCCAGGAGCGTCACTGCCTCGGACGAGAAAACAAAGAAAACTAAATCGTCCCTCTGTTCTCCACAGTGTAACTTCTATCCCTAGAATATCTTGCATCAAAAACATTTAGGTTTCCTGTTCTTACCTCGTGTGTTCAGTTCCAGTCCAGAAAACACTCATCTGGAAAACTCCAAGCGTTCCTTCTTAGTTTCTCAGGAACGAGGGACTCCGGCTGCTTGTCGCTCACAAAAACAAGTTACAGGAGATTTTTATGACGTTTTATTTTCTGTGCTCGGACATTTGTCACCTTCAGCTCCTACAGATCCAAACGAAGGTGGTCTAATGAACAGAAGCTAAAAACAGTGAGTCAAACCGTCGGCTGTGTGGGCGGGGCCACGCCGAAGGACGGTCAAAGTATTGATTATGGCTTACAGTGGACAGATCAATGACTTATTGCCACGCCCTTCACTCTGAAACAAGTGGAGGCTTCAGAACCCAACTACAAACATTTATGTACAAGTTTCCTGCTCCACATGAAGTAGCTGAATATTGAATCACTGTACAAGCGTCGGACCACGTACACCAATCTATAGAGCATTTAAACTACTAACTCTTATTTACAGATATATTTGGTAAAACCCTGATTTGTTTGAACAGTTTTAAACCAACCCAACCGCAGATAAAACACGAGAATATCTCAAAATACTTAATAGCAAAAACAAGAAAAGAACAAAGCCTGATTGTTTCTTCCCACTCTTAGTGGCCTCGTTTCTAGGAGAGAAATACACGTTCACTTTTTCACTTTAGGTACACGTCAAGACGTGCCGGGAGTGTTTGAGGCAGTTAATACTTCACATGACGGTAACGTGTTGCGTGGCTGAGCCCAGGCGGCGGTAAGAAAAGCTCCTCGCCTCAGAGCCGTCACGTTACTCAAACGATGGTCCCCAGAACACAGCTGTGGTGGAACAGATCATACAAATCAAAGGTCGTCATGTCTTTACATCATGGAGGGGGTGTATGGGGGGGGTCTACTGGTTGTTGCTGCTCTCATGCAGGTCTCTGTGGAGGATCCAGATGTCCTGCTGGGACTGGTTGCTGTCGTTCATGTTATTCCTGTAGTTGTTGTTGCTGCTTGGAGAAACCTGCTTCGTTCCCCTGCTGGGGGGGGCCGTCTGCATCGGACAGTGGTTGTTGTTGCTGCACGTGGCGGGGGCTCGCGCCTGCTGCCCCCTGCTGCTGGGGACAGGGAGCTGAGACCTGCCGCGAGGGCCGGGACGCCGCTCGGAGCTCTGAGCGGAGGCGACGGGCGCCTGCAGGGAGACAGGAAGTGGTGAGACAGAGACTGGGCCGCTGCAGGAAACAGAGACGTGTCGCGGTCTGCTGTGTTGGGGGGGTCGTTTATCTCTCATGCAGTCAGTGTTCGGAACGAGCTGAGCTTTGAGTCGCTTCCAAAGCAAACAGGAAGCAGAGAACATTTAGTTAAAGATGGAGAATAAGCCCCCCCTCACCGTCTGCAGCTGCTGGACTGTGGGTCCTCGCTCGGCTTCATTTGGAGGCACCGGGTCCCTGGAGAAGCCCATCACAAGATCTCTGGTCTGAGAGATCTGCAGGACAGACAGGAGGTCAAAGGTCAGACAGAAGAGGAACCCAGGAGCGCTCAGGACTGTGTCAGAGTGGAACAGGAAGTCCTCGGGTTCATTTTGTTAGTGGAAGTTGGCCTGACGTCCGGACTTGAACCGGGACGCTGCAGAACTTCTTGAAATTAATTTGAGGCAATGCTCGGATTGTTGCAACTGGAACAACCAGGTTTTGATCAACGATGAAGCAACTGTCCAGACGTTTGGATGTCTCCATCACTGAAGTATTTAAACAGTTAATGTTCTGGACATGAGTGTTTGTTCCGGAGCAGAGTTCAACAGTGAATGCCAGAAGACCTAAATGTTTTTCTTGAAAATACTGCAGCGTGACAGACCCTGGACAGTGAGGGAGACATTTATCCACCACCAGGTGCCCGGGGGTGGCCAGTGGTGGCCTTGGCACCACAGATTGTTCTCGGCCACCCCAATCATTTTACTTTTAATTCAACTCAGTTTATTTATTTAGCTCCGAGTCACACCAGAAGTCGTCTCAGGTCACTGAACAGAAACGTTCATAAACCGTCATTGCTGGTGTACAAGCCGCTACTTTGTTCTTACTTTGTACGCCACAGTTTATATGCAGGAGTGTCTAATTTATGTATTTTATTCATAATATACATTTTTATATTTTATTTTGACGCACTTCTTGCCGTCTCTCGGTAACTTCCTGCCTCTGACTAACATTTTCCTTTGACAGGGCAGCTCCCACCCCTCGTGTTTGTGACAGAGTGCATGCCCTCAGGTTTCCACATGCGCTGTCATTCCCCGATTTGTTACAGAAGCACGATTCGTAGTGAACTTCCGGGGAGCACGGATCTCCGTTGTTTATGAATAACAACTGTCTGAATGCATTTAGAAAAGTACGTGCTGTATCTGCACCGATCTTCATGTAGCTATTCCACGCCACTCGTATTTCCGTTACAAATCACTGGTTATATGTGACGCGTTGGAGCTGACCCCCAGCCTGGGCTGCATGAGGAAAACCCTGCGAGATCAAAATGACTTATGTCCATGGTGAAACAGCGCCGCTCGGTGGTGAAGCTGCAGATCATTTGAACCATGACGGAAATATGACAAAGATTTTAACGGAAGTACAAGTGGCGTAAATTAGCAACATTAAAATCAGTGGAGATACAGCACAAACTTTTCTAAGTAAATTAAGACAGTTTTTATTCATAAACAGAATTATACCAGTAAATTTTCCTTAATCTAGCATAACTGCTAGATTATGTGAGAACAACTGCTTTGCATCAACGTGTCGATGGGCGGGAAGCAGTCAAGTGCGGTACATGTTTTAATAAAAGTTTTAAAATTATTCCTGTGTGACATCTTTCTGTGTCGGTAAATATGAATTTAAACACCGGGATCTCATTTTGAACTCATCGCATCTGAACGAACAGGAGGGGTTCTTCATCGCATCTGAACG